AAAAAAAAAAATAAAATACTATCTTACATCAAGTCACACCTTGTCAATTAAACAGAACTCTGCAATTAGATTAAGTATCGTTGGCAGGTGGAATGAGCTTATGTCAGAGAAAGCAAAACAGCACATATTGTGCATTAAAAGGATTCGCATACACAAGGGTTTTTTTATAGTTTGCCTGTGCGAATCAGAAACTTCGAAGCAATCAACATTTATAAAGTAATTTGTTGTTGTTAGGGTAAAGATCTTGCACCACGTTTTCAACATAAAACCCAAGTGACTGAGTGTCATCAAAATGTATTAAGATCAAAGAGGTATCAAGATAAAATATATTGTAGTAATTTCTTAAGAGTAAATTTCGCAACCCACAGGAAAAACAGTTTTCTCACAGTACAATTTTCTAAGGCACATGAGTTTTACTTCAAGCAGCTCAAAAAGATGGATTTACCACCCAAAACCAGAGTCATGTTCACATCTGACAAAACTCACGTAATGCACTCAAAGATGATATCATGTTATATTACAGTCCTCTTGCCACCTGCCACAAGGTGTGTCTAACCTACGTAAGGAAACTTTTGCAAGACCAAGATTGCATTAAATAGCTGTCTCAATTATTGTTTCAACAGCTGACGTTCAGAAGGCAGCCTCGGTTTTAGACAGAAGCATTTACTGCACTTACGTGCTAAAGCAAACTTTAAAAGCAGTTGCCTCAGTTTGGGAACTTCAGAGGAAACAATCAAGGAATACCACAGAGTAAAGAATTTGGGGTGCTCCCAAATTCAAAGGAAAGTAGTGCAGTACACTACTACGGGAGGTATCAGAAGAACTGGTCAAACCTGTGCAGCTGCAATGATTCGTAGTTCTCACAGTCAGAAGAAAAACGTACAGGCTGCACCAACTCAGCAGAATCAAGGGAAGGCTTTATTTTAAATACTATGTCCATCTACTCTAACTAATTTTTACAGAACAGTGAGACTGTCGTTCCGTGAGGAATAAAGAAACTGGAAAGAGAAAAGAAGCAAGGAACCTCACTCAAGATGACCTAGATATTTTATAGTCAAAGATTGCCCCAAAGATCGTGCCTATTAAATGCAGGGTGGTTAATTTTTTCATAAGGAAAGCAGCAAGAGGAAGAGTGAAACGAGGAGGACATCAGAGCGATCACGGCGCTATATGTTTTGACGGGAATCCACGCTTAGCCAGAAGTACCAGAGGCAGTTAAAAGTAGTAAGGCTGTTTCTGACTGACAGAAATTAGTCATCGATTGTTAAAAGCACTGAGAGCACCTGCTGTAGTTTAGGATTCCTTTGTATTTGGCATCTCTACTTGATGCACTGCAAGTCAGTACAGAACTCAAACATCAGCTACAGAAGTGACAAAAGCTGTAGGGAACTGCTGCAGAAATGACAATTTCAAGAACGCGTCTGGAGATTCTAGCAATAAAGAAATTTTCAACAAGGAACACACATGAAAGCAAACTTAGATGCAAAAATAAGATGCAGAAAAGGATAGGGATATACAAACTGTATTAGGCCTGCTGTAAACCACTGACATCTAGAGATAGGCAAGAAAAATGCAGAATAAACTGTAGCACAAAACTTTCATATGCAATAATTCCTAATTTATACTTCACGATTCACATTTTATTCACTTCAATTTTTTCCTTTTGTCCTGCTTGTGATGCACAAGGACCTTAAGCCATTCATATAGATTAACATGGCAATGGCAGACATCCATGTCATGTGCTCAGATCATGTCTGACTGAAGCATTTACATCCTAAATTATACCGTAGATTTCCCGTTCTCTAGTCTTTGATTCTATACTATATATTTAAGTTTAGCTGCTGCTCTACACATGGTTCAGATCTCTAAGGCTAATCACTGCCACACAACTGGATCTAGTAGGTGGTGTTCTGTCTGACAGCCAGTTAGTGAATGAAGTAGTCCACAATTTAGTAAGCTAGTGTAAATCAGTCTCAATGGCAATCCCCTCCATGGGCCATCTACATGCTGCTCTGATAAAATCACAGATCCCAGGAAAGACAGAATTAGATTGTGCAGCTTCTTACCTGCAGCTCCTTTGAGACTCTCTCTAAGTGGTTAGTTATCTTTTTTATTAGGTCACTATACATCTGTTCCGAATGCTGCTGGCATACACACTTATACACACAACTGCAGAAACAAATATAGGAACAAACAATGAACTTACAACAGTTTGCAATGAAGGGTAACAGACTTCAAAATATTTTGTTCAAGTCTCAATTTCGAGAACAGTAAGAGTTAACTGAATGATTGCTGAACTTTCAAACATAGCCCTAAGCCTGGAACGAGCTCCAGCAGACTCTTAAGTCTCTCCTGGAGGCCCCAGTGTGACTGTCCCATTCCCCCTCCCCAATCTCACTTTAACTTACAATGAGTTTCCTCAACAGTGCACTTTAGAACAGCCAGGATAATTCTGTCAACAGCACACTCCAAATTCTGGCTTTTGTCTCTCTTATGTGAATGAAGTTACCATTAAAATAAGCAGGTGTAATGATTATATGCATAGTCTAGGGAAAAATCCTTATTAAAAGACGGGCAACACTGACAAGCAGTCATAGAAGTTGCACCAAAAGCTCGCTAGCGTTTTAAAAAGAAACAGCAAAAGTTCTAAAATTACAGATCCAAGCATGTTACTCTATCCTGTGCCACTTAAACTGTAAGAAAACCCTACATTTTCATAAAAACATGAAGAGAAAGAGCAACAAAACTTTAATTTTACATTCCATGGCTTGGCTGTATTATCTCTGGTCTTCAGTGTTACCTTTGGTTTTTAAGAACGTTTTATTGCTCTCATACTGCAATATAACATATCTTCAAAATAAGGCTACGTATTGAAAACATATTTACAGCAGTTGTAAAACAAATACGTCTATCACTTTCAGCAAGGCGTTACGTTAAGGTAGCCACCATCGTCAGGACTAACACCAACATTATCTGTACCCAGCAGCTTTTACTTCTCTCAAGTGCTTTCGTTCTTTGAAGCCAGTATTTTGACAACTACCTGCCAAAAAGCAAGAGGCACAAGGAAGACTTCACCTGATATGCTGGGCAAGCCATATCTCCACCCCATGTCTCCGTTCTGCTCCCCTCTCCCTCCGTCCCTCCGCCCCCAGCACTGTGACAGCGAGCAATTTAGGCCAGAGACTGCTCCTTAGGCCAAGCGCAAACAAACTCCTTCCAGCAAGGTCCAGATCCCACACTTGAATTCCTCAGGTTTTTAATAGCACCGAAAGCCTAAAGCTACGATACGGCAACACTGTGTCTCTGCAGGGGAACTGTGACATTCCTACTGTCTTCTGAGAAGGTGGCACAATGACAAACTAACTGCACAGATGGGATTAGAACAGCCACAGGCTATGGGCTATTGGAATTTTCGAACGCAAGTGAGAGGTTCGGCACCAAATCCAAGTCTTCAGGGGCCAAGACAGTGTTCTCATTCAATAACTGCCACCCTCAAAGTCTTCTGGAGGAAGATTTTACAAGTGAAGTTCATATTTATTCCCTTTGACAACTTCAAAAGCCCCAAAAATACAGCGTTCATCCCTACTCAAAGTCTGCTCTTTTGGCAAACCACCTCACACCTCTCCTAGTATTATATTATGAAAATAATTTAGTATCTGTAGTTTGATATTATTTACATAACAAAGTCATCCTGTTTCTTTCACATTAAGTCTACCAATAGCACATCCTATTTTGGAACAGGAAAGTGTAAAAAAGACATTATGGTATGAAAAAAAAAGCCAGACTGATTTTTGTGATCTCTTACAAACCAGCCAGCTAGATAACAACAGCAAACGGCCATTTGTTTGTTTGCTCCACAACTAACCAGTATAGAGTCACTTCCACAAGTTGACCACTTCATTTGCAACGATATAACTAAACTGAACCTCAAAGTACAGGTCTGGTTAGTGTTACACACAATATTGCTATACCTACTTCCACAACACATCCTGCAGTCAAACTCCAGTCTTTGTATGTACGTGCAAAGCATGTTTATATTTTGTCTGAACACTTCTGGTTAGAGGTTCCTTCCTCATTTTCAGGTCCTGTTTCCAGTTCCTGATTATGGGCTGATTCTGTGAATCATCCTTGACCTGCCATTACTAAAAAGAAGTCAGCAGCTTGTTAGTCCTTTAGCATAACCAAACACCTCAGGAAAAGGAAGACCCAAGCAGGACATTAGAAGGTAAGCATTTAGTGAGAGGGATGGAGATCCCAGGCCTGGAAGTTGTCTTGAAGAACAGCAATCTAATTGCATTGCACCTGGGAGGCAGTTGTAATGGTTGGCAGAAGTACAACTCAGCTGTTCACATTCTCCTCATCCCAAAGTTCCCTTTACACCTCTCTGTCAATATGTTTAACCCTTTAATAGGAAGTGACTACACACAGGCAGGCTTTGGACTCAGAGATGAAAACAGTCACTAATCACACTTTGATACCTTAAGGTCAAAGTGATCCATTAGTAAATACCTGCATACACACCTTTCAAGTTATCCCCTAGCTTTCACTGCTGTGGAGTAGACACCTACAGATATCACTGATCACATTAAATGTAGCAGTCTGGGTATCTAATAATATATTTTGAGTTTGCACTATGGAAACCTTGATTCCTTTAGTCAGCAAAAAGACAATCAAAAAGACCATTATATTTTCAGCTCAGTTTCATTGTAAAATAAAAAATATAAAAGATACGTAGCTGTTTGAACCACTTCAAAAAACACCCCACTTTCAGACTAAAGAACTAGCCTAGGGAAGCAGAGAGGATCTAAACCTCAAGTCTGCTATAGACTTTCTGCAATACTCCAAGCAAGCATCATCATTAAATTCAACAAAAAGTAGGTTTTCTTTCACTCTCAATCTATGCTGTCTTGATTATGAGACAGGCAAAGGGACACTCTCTAAAATAAAATAAATTTAAAACCCTCCTGGTTGGAAGCAGCTGTGTCAGAGTAATTACATCCACAGATAAAATATTTAAAAGAAAACTTAAACTGACACACTAGCTCTATCAGTAACACCAAACGACAGACAATCTTTTGTTTTGGTAAAATACATGCAACAGGCACCTGCACATCATTATAACACTGCACCAGGTGTCACCCTGATGTATAAGGGTGTACCTAGGAGAAACTTAAAACCCATTGTTGCTTTAATAAATAATACTTTTGAGCAGTAAAAAGACGACCAAGATAAACCGCAGTTATCTGAGAACCATAACTAGGTACAGATCTAGGTACTGAAGCCTTAATTTTACACACCTACTCTTTTTCAGAGCTGACCTTCAAGAGATGTTGGCTTAACCCTTACTGACAGCTGTTTGCACATTGGGGATTTCAAGCTAGGGAAAGGATTTTGATTACTTACACTAAAACTGCAAAATGTCTTAATTGAAATTACCATCTCAATTACTTATATACATGATGATGTTCGAGTCCTGATAATAGCAGTTCCAAAAGTTTGGAGAGGAAAGAAGTTTATTAAAGTGTTTAACTGGAATTAAGAGGGAAGACTGAACACATGCCGTCCTTGTATCCGGCTCCCTAATCCAAAGTTTCGAACTAGAGAGAAAGCAGCCAAAAGCAAGCGAGCAGGAGCCAATACAGCTGAAAGCCTCTAAAAAGAGCAATGAGTGACTGAGCTGCCTGTGTTATTTCTTAGGGTGCAATGCTATTGTAAAGAACACCAAGACAGCAGTGCTACTAGTTGTGTTGCTGGCAAGGGTCAGTAGATTTAACAGCATCTTGGCCACTAAATGCAACACCAGTTACCCAGTTTCCACCCTGTTTACCTACCCCTTGGATACCTGTCACCTACAGAACAGAAATCTCCGCTTTCACCACTCTCCTAAGAAATCGCCAGGTCTCTAAAACATCTAGCATTTTGGTTTGGAGCAGTAGTGTGGTTTTGAAGCAAACCTCCCTACCATCCCCACTACTGTGGCAGAGCAGTTCTGGTGAGTGACTAGGTCCCTTTTAAAGCAAAGTAAATTGCAGCTCCAGGCCAGGTTCAAATCAAACATTTTCCAGAAGAAATGGAGATGTAAAAGACTGAATCTTGTGTCAGTCCTTCAGACAGCCTCTAACTGCACATGCAGTGGGAAGGCTGGGCAAGGGGGAAATCAGACTTAATCTACCTGATGCAGAACACACAAATGACAGTTTATACTGATGGACCTTGGCACCAGTCGCTTCCACTTACTTCTGCACCTCTGCTGCACCAAATTGGTTCCTATCAGACGTGACAAAGAAGCCTTTTGAAGTATTAAGTCAAACACCTAGCATGCCAGTCTCTTCTCTCCTTTGAGGAATGGGATGTTGAGACTATAATACATTTCTTAATATATGACACCAAGCAACTGTGGTGGAGCTTACTTTAAAGTAAATATTTTCAGCACTTATGCATCTTTCTTGTTAAGCATTTATTCCTGTTAATACGTGACGTCAAGATACGTATCTATTATTCACTCATTCTAACCATTTGTACAATATTGTACTTCACATAACCTTTCCACTTTCCTCTTCATAAATACAAAATATGACATATGCATAGGCTGCAAGATAAAATAAACATTTAACATTAAAGGGAAAAAAAAAAGTTACACAGCACTTAAAATATTTTCCTTACCTGTATATTTGTTCATAGGAGATAGGGATGTAGTCACCAGGACACTGAGTTAAAAGCTGATCTATGGCACTGTCCAACTTTGGCCAATATGTGCTCTTATAGTCTTCAATTGTTATAACATTCATTACTACAAGAAAAAGACAAAACTACATTTAGTAACTTTAGTTAAAACACTCTGCAATTTTAGATCACACCGATAAGACGGCCAAAAAAACTGGGAACAGTTCACTTCTGCTAAGGTAATCTCATGTAAAACTAAAGCCCAGACTTGAATTTGTACCTTTTTATTTACAGAAAATAAAATAAAATTAAATCAGAAAACCTACCAAATCAGTGCTTGGATATTTATTAGGGGCCCAAGTAGTAGGGAAAAATGAACTTCTGGAAGTTTTAGCATGACAATAATAAAAAAAAAAAAAGTAGTTCAGTAGTTGGCTCAGATCAGTAAGCTACATAGCTCTGTGGGAGTCCAGAATCAACAATTAACACTGGGTCCTCACATGCAGGAAAAGAAGTTTCAGCCAAGACTGGTAGTTTTCAGAATACTCCTTCCCAGCAGATGTTTTAATTTTACAAGTCTCAGGTGGGACCAGCAGCTTCTCTGGCCTAAAAGCTGATGCAATTCCCTCTGTCTTCAACTGCAGTTAGGCTCCCAAGCAACTTTTTTTGATCCGTATTACAGTTTCCCCTCTAGCAGGCACAACAGTATTCCTTTTCCAGATAAGAATCAGCACAGGGGAGAATAGGAGGCATTTAAATTATCGTTCCCCATCACTCCCTGATTTCCCTCCTGATTTTCCTCTTGAGCTTCCCAACTGCACCCTCTTGCACAAGCCACTCTGCGCGCCTTCACAGACACAGACGAGTTCTAATCCCTCTCTTTTCAGGGAGGATTTCCAAACCAACCACTCATGGCTCAGTTCTAACAGCAGCCACAGCAGAAGGGTTAGCACTTTACCTTCAGAGACGTACTCAGAGGACTATCTCGCTGGCTTGTCACACCACCGGAGCTTCATAACATCCACTCAAAAAAAAGCCCTCAGTGTGTATATATATATAGATATATATAGATATATATGAAATATACAGCACAGGGTATACTTCATATCAAAACTACCCAGTCCAGGAAATCAACATGTGTGTCTGGGCTACATGGAATAGAGAATAAAGATAGTTCCCATTCCAAACAATCAAGTTTAGACAGCACATTGAAAAAAAGTCTTTTGAATACAGCTGCATTTTAAATACACTTGTAAATGTAGATTCACTGCTGGGTTTGAGGAGCAAGATTTCTGAAATGTTTTTTTCACAAGGGGTTGAAAGGAGCTGAGTAAGTCACTTTTGGCAGCACTGTGAAGAACAACTCTAGGGAAATACAGGCAAAACAGTCAACAGCATGATGAGAAAAAGAAGAGTATAAAGAGAATGTGGAATATAGAGAGGTGTGAGACAAGAAAGTGTTTGAATACTACTGAATGGTATTATAGATTCCTGTTGTGTCTTTTCAGGGTATTTCAGCCAGAAAGCTTGCTTAGTGAAGAATGTCAGTGCAGTACTCCCAGCCCTCTCTTCACCTAACCAGCCATCGGTTCACTCCTGCTTCATATCTATTACACAAATAGATCCAATTAACCCAGTAAGTGTCTGAGCAGTGAACAGGTCACCACTACCAGGTGCTGCAGGATGCTGTCCCAGCACTCCAGCCTGCAATCTGAAAGTACGACACCGTTTGCTACCAAGTTGATAAAGGTTACAGGTCCAGGTACATAACTACCAGGACGCAAGATAACATATCCAGTGAGTCAGCTCCACGATGTAAAAGCATCCATGTGGTCAGGAACAGCACAGCACCTGCCTGACAGCAAATTCACCCCTTAGTCATCTATCTCCCAATGACTTGCTTGAGTTCTTGTCCCTGACAGAGCCCAGGCTCTGGGCAGATGTCCTCAGGAGCAGCTTCCATGTAGTAGCTTTACTATTCATGCTTACACTCTGCAGCAAAATTTGACCATTTATATTTCACTTTATTACCCCTAAAAAGGTGGGTGTCTACAGAAGAGCTCTGTTCCACAGAAAACGTAACTGAATTCAGCACAAATATTAGACCACATCTTGACTTAAGATTTCAATGTACAATCACACCCACATCTGGATTAACACATTAAACAAGTTCTATTCAGTTGAAAGAAGAGAGTCAAGTAAGAATTGAGAATACTGCAAAATAATATTTTTAACAGGGTGTTGAGAGGTCTATCTATTTTCTTCACAATATGGAAAAAGAAAGAAGTAGCAGATAGGAAACCTATCCATTAGAAGTGCTGCACAAGTAAAGGATAAAATCCTTTTATGAACAGGCCCAGGAGACTCATATAGGAAATGCTGATGAGTTAAAAGTAACATTCTAGAAAAGCTTCATTTTTATTCAAAAGACTCTTATAAGTATTATTTCATTTGATTTCCATGCTTCAGTTCTGAAACTAAGCCAACCACAATATTTATATAGTTCACAGTCCAAAGACTACACACTGAACAATCACTGGTTTTATTCTTCTAATCCGGAAAACAAATTACTTTAAAATTTTAATAACTGTCACAAGCTAGTAACGTCCCTTTTTTCTGGCAGTGCTTACACACACAAAAAATGAAGAATGACTTAAAGTAGCACCCTCTAATCATAAACTCTGCAAAAAACAACCTCAAAACCAGGAAGGAAAGGAAGCGTACAAATCCTTAGAAAGAATAGACAAGAGTGCCCTTTTAGAAACTTTGTTAGTTTTTTTAATTTTTCATCTTTTTAGGATGTCATTCTTAAATGTTTACCCTTACATTAGGTATTGAAGATTTAGAAGGATTTGTCCAACAGCCTCAGTTTCCAAACAGCAAGGAAAGGGTGATACTAAAAGATGACTTTCATTTCACTGAGACTTATTACGTTTCTGGGAAGTGACATGAATATTTTGTAAAAAAGCACGCTAGAACACATTATTTTATCCAACTACAGCAAGTTTGGGGTGGGGCTGGGAGAGAAATCAGTCTGATCGAATGGAAAGGAAGCCAGTGTTTTCCAGCAAACTATAAAAGACTTCACAAGTAAAGCTTGAGAAGCAACTGCTGCTTTTCGATATACAGAAAAGTTCAAAAGAAAAACTGTTGAAGTCAGATGCAGCCCAGTGAAACCATTTAAGTGAAAAAGAATATGCATGAGCTTCAAATCATAACCTAGATATTTCAGTATCATAGACATAATTGAAACACAGCCTGCTCCAAGCTACCAAATTCTTTGATATCAACTTCAATCAGAAGAAAGGCAAAATACACTAAGATTAGAAAAAAAAAAAACACAAAAAACCACAAAACCAAACAGAAACAGAGAGTCCAAGAGTGGTTATACATCCCCCATGAAATTGATAAGAAAAACCTACAAAGCTCAAAAAAGATGCTAGAACAGTAATAGGCACAGGATATGAAGAACAGAAAAATAATTTAAAAAAAAAATCATTGACACTGGTGGCTTTGTAATTTAGACAAGACAACTTAACCTGAAAAGCTACTCAAAACACTTACTGTGCTCACATATAAGAACATCCTTCTTCTAAAACTATAGTTAAAAAAGCAGGGGACAGAGCAGGATAGGTAATCCAACCTACTGTCAAGTAAGCAGGTATTAGTCTGACAATTATCTGTCATTTATTCTGACAATAAAAATAAAAGAAAACAGCAAGGCATCTTTTAGCAGCTTTATTTCATCTCACGAAGTGACATACATGAAGCTTTACTGCTTAACTCGCAATGCACCCTACAATCCTAAAAGACTTTGTCAAAGCGTGCCAACTCCCTGCCCATGGCAGCGGGGCTGGAACTAGATGATCTTTGAGGTCCCTTCCAACCATTCTATGATTCTATAACTCTTCAAGCAGATGTCTGAGACTCATCCACGGACTCATAGCTCTTGCTGCGGCTCTGCACTTTCCTTTTTCTCAGCTGCCACATGCACGTTTACGGAACAGATTTTGCTATATCCCCTGCCTGACACAACCTGGCATCCATTTGCAAGTTTATGTGTCCGCCCTGTAGATGCTTTCAACTCTATTCTATTTTTATTACATGTTTCTCAGTCTGCATTCAGACTGGTCAGTAAAAATGTTAAACTTTTTCTTCATCAGACAATTTGCCTACACCACAACGCACACACACTGCACTGAATTACAAAACAACAAGACAGAAAACTTCGGTTTTTATCACAATTGAGTTATGCTGCAATTATGGAAGAGTTTTACTTAAAGTATTAAAAGTTCTTACTCTTATTTTCTTCCTTATGGCCTTTGAAAAATATTTCTCATAGCGCTACTGCTTTATAAATCCGTAACTATGACTGAAGCTGATCAACTGTAAATAAAGATTTAGTTGTAAGTTTACCACAACATGGACAATTCTCTAAGTAGAAGAAAACCTATTAAATGAACGGTGCGTTACTGTATCTGATCTGAGTTCTGTGTCACCAAAATCTCAAGCAAGGAGAACTGGATTTGGCCCTTTCAAAAGATTTTTAAGGACGTCCATCTAACCTTCCTCCTCCATTATTCCGACAGGTAAATTAGAGAGAAAAAAAAAAGGCCCACCAGACAGCTTCAGTCAGCAACTACCAACACAAGCAAAACCAACACACTGCAAGTAATTACATATTGGAACACAGGCATTGGATTTTTCGTTTTGGAGGAAAGAATCAGAAGGGAGAGACCTATCTGAATGTCCGAGGCACTCCAGTTTATCATACGGTTGTCAGAAACCATATGTCACCCCCATTTTTGAAGGTGACCTGTAGGATAACCTGTCTAAGACTAAGCCTCTGCATCATGAAGCAAGCAAAGCAGGAGTCCTTGCTCATTAAACTGGAAGAAGTTCTTCATGCAGCAGAGAACAGACAACTTTGCTATCAAGCTTAAGACTGATGATCAGCTTCTCCACGCATGTTCTGCCACTGCTAGGATGGAGCAGGCAAGAGGGGATCTAGCACACGCTGTCTCCCTTACATTGTACATTTACATCAAAAGTGACCTTTCTCCTTTTTCTACATATGAAAACTAAACAGAGGGACTAAGAGATCCTCTGCTGGGATTGGAAGAGGTAGGATCCCAACTCAGCTCCTGTACTTTCTCGGTCCATACTACTTCACTGGACTTGTTTTGTTCATACACACATACTGTCAAAATTATCCGTAACAAAAAGGTGTAGAAAAGTTCTAATGAACTTACTCTGAGAATTTTGTATTTTACAGAAATTTTAATTTTCTTTAAAATAACACTTAACACCAGTACAACAGATATTGTGTTGGGATACTAACACTGGAGAAGTGAAAATAAGAACTCAAAAACCACATCCTAAGCAAAATCACACGCAGCCACTTCTTCTCCCCCTCAGACACAAATCACAGATTAGCTGGAAAGTCACCTTCCCACTTAGCAAAGATCCAGCCTGAAAACAAAATTTCATTCTGAAATAGAAGAAAAAACTAAGACTTTAAATTTCTGGATTGGGAATGCAAGAGCTTAGTTTAGCAAGGCCGAACGGCATTTCACTTCTCATGTGAAACTGTCTCATGTGTTTACGAGCTACTCCAAGGTACCTGAAGCCCTGACAAGCAAGGCAGGCCAAGAGTCGGAGAGCTCATGGAGTCTGGGAGCCTCAACTTCAAAGCAGCCAGCCTTGGCAGCGTGCCTGGAGCCGCAAAACCCAGGCTACCAGAGAAGCAGGGATCCAGAAGCCTGAACTTGGAGCTTCTGATCAGCTCTGGAGCTGAGCTGCTGAGGAGCTGGACAGGTGAGTTAGCACTGCAGAAATGGGGGAAGTCCAAGAAGAGACCGAGAATCTCTCAAGAGAGAGATTCCAACTTCCTAGTCAACCCTCACCTATGTACTGGGCATGAGGTTGCATGATACAGAATATTCCAATGGCCAATTTGGGCCTCAATCTTAAGTCTATGTTCAAATCGTAAGAAGTTGTACATCCTTTGTCCCGGCCATGCTCCCCCCCAGCCTGCTGTGCTCCTGCACACCAGCAAAACATGGGAAGCTGAAAGGTCCTCAATGTCCCAGCACCTGCTATAAATATCAGTGCACTATCAATGTTCTTCTCTTAAAAAAATCCCATACTAAACCCAAAACACAGCGCTATTCCAGCTACTAAAAAGCCAAACTAACTCTGCCCCAGCCAAAACCAGGACGGCCATTTCTGTTAAAAGCTACATACAAAGATGTTTTAGAACTACTTTCTAGGGGCGTAAATCCATCTCCAGTTGCTCTCATCAAGCCTTTGCAGACAGATGTCCCTCGTGGGACAGCACCCCCGGCCCAGGGGCTCTGCAGACATTGCTGATGGTGGATGGCAATCGCAAACGGGCTTCAGGCCCACCTTTGGGTTCTCCAGGGAGAAAGAAAAAGTCTTTAGGAAAACACGATCTGAGCTAAAAGCTTCGGGAAAAGCAACAGTGCCTCTGTGCAGCTGCAAACCCTGCCCGCACCCGCGCTCCCAGCTCCACAGCCGGATCCGCCCCCCTGCCGTGACAGCAAAGCAGCAGGAGCTGGGGGGTGTGCAAGAAGGGAGGTTTTCTCCTCCCGAGGCGCCTCAACCCATCTCATTTCGCTTCGAGAAGCCTCCCGGGCCAACCCCCGCGTAAGGGACGGGCCGCGGGACAGCGCTCAGACCGTCCACGGCCGAGGCGTGCAGCGCGGTCACTCACGGAACTTGGAGGTCGAGGCGTTGATGTTGATGGCGGCGGCG